AGAGAGAGAGAGAGAGAGAGAGAGAGAGAGAGAGAGAGAGAGAGAGAGAGAGAGAGAGAGCGAGCTGATTTTTTTCTCGGGTCTAAGTGCATTCTACTGGGTTCCACGCCATGGAACTGAAAACTCCAAGCTCCACCTAGGGAAAGCGACTGTGTGAAGCCACGCTTCAAGTTGCAACCCTTTCCCGCCCCCCTCCGCTCCCACCTATGAATGAGCCGCTGACACCCGACACCTCGGGGGAGGAGACAGGGGGAGGGTTCATTCATGCCTCCATTTTGTGAATGGAATTCCTGACTCCATTCAGGAAAGCGGAGGGAGGAGGGGCAGGAGTTCAAGGGCAAGTAACACGATCCCCTCCGGTCTCCAGCCTTTGAAGGTCAGCAACTCAGAGCATCTCCCTCCTCCAGCCGCCACTTCACCGGGCTGGGGGCGGGGGGTGGGGGGTGGCACCGCCAGGGTGTGAGGAAGGGAAGCACCTATCCTGTTCTCTCCCTGGAGCTGCTAGGGGTTTGTGGTTCAGCTCCTGACCCAGAAATACTATGGGCACCAGGAAAAGAAAAATTCTGCAATTCCAGCCAGCTCTGCAGCGTGTTCTCTCTCTCCCCGCCCCCTCCATTTTTTTTTTTTGAGACAAAGTCTCACTCTGTAGCCCAGGCTAGCCTGAAATTCATTACGTAGCTCAGGCTAGTCTCAAACTCATGGCCAACCATCTGCCCTCCCCTCCATGATGCTGACAGTAATAGGAACGAACAACCACAGCTCTCTCTCTCCTCTCTCTCTCTCTCTCTCTCTCTCTCTCTCTCTCTCTCTCTCTTTTATGGACACTAGTCAAGGCTAGCCTTGATGCCGATGATTATCCTGCCTCCACTTCCCAAGTGCTTGAACTACATGGGTACACATGTTCAGCTCCTGGAGACAAGGACTAATGACAAATCTCATTTTGTATCCTCTGGCTGCATACTCTTGTTCCAGGCACAGTACTCTGGTCTTAGTGCGTTAATTAAAACTCCCAAACCTCTAACAGAAGTAAATGCCCAGCCCTTCTTATTGCCAAAAGCTGTAAGGGCAAAGGTGTTATATACCCTATCATTTTATCTGAATGTCAGCTGGCTAGAAAACGATCATTCTTTAGAATATATTTTTTAAAAAGTGAATGAGTTGGATTATGAACCATGGAAAGGCACAAACCTTCTAGGGACCTTTGCTTCACCTCACTGCTCACAGGAGTACATGCCACCCCACCTGGTGCCCCCCCCCCCAAGAGTCTCTTACCTGAGTCATAGGAGAAGTCTGTGCGCTCCTGTTTGATCAACACCCCCGCCCCTGGGTACCTGTGCCCACTGACCCCACCCTGGCTCGCAGCTGGCTGGCCAGCCTGTTCATACAGGGGATCGTGGTATTCCTGCTTGAAGCTCTGCTGGGGGTAGGGTGGGCAGGGCTCCGACAGCTGGTGTTGGTAGGGGGCTGGGAGAGGTTCCCGGCCCCCTCCCTGAGGAGATGTGAAGGAGCGGCACATGTCCAGGGACTGCTGGAAGACGGAGCTGGACGGGATGGATGGAGAGGGAAGAAAAGAGAATCTTCCATTAGGTCCCCTTGAGCCTATCACTCGCTGACAGGTGCTCCTCTCCTCCCAGCCAGGTCTCCATGGAGAACTAGGGAACTGAGCCCAGACAGCCTGGCGAGGCCTGGGTCCCTCGGTACTGTGGATCTGTCTCCTTACCTGTGCTCACCAAGGTACCCGTGGCCAGGGTGGGACTGGGAAGAGCTGGAGGATCTCAGGAGACTCTGCTGTTGTTCTGCCCTGGGAAACGGCTGCAGGGGCGACTGTCCAGGGGCACCGGGGGCGGGGGACTTGATGCCGATTTGTCTGGGGGAGTCATAGGCACTGGAGTTGAAGGGGAGATGGGAATATGAGGGGACAGAGAAACTAGGTGACCATCTGTTCTACCCTTCATCCCCCTGGAAGTGATGATTACAACTGTAGCAGTAGAGGAGCTGGGTGAAAATTTTATTTATTTATATATTTATTTAAATTTTTGGGTTTTGTGCCCTCCTCCCTCCCCCGGTGACAGGTTTCTCTCTGTAGTCCTGGCTGTCCTGGATCTCCCTCTGTGGACCAGGCTGGCCTCAAACTCAGAGATCCGCCTGCCTCTGCCTCCCGAGTGCTGGGATTAAAGGCATGGGCCACTACTGCCCAGCAATTTTATTTACCTATTTATTGTAGTTTTGAGACAGTGTTTCTCTGTGTATCCCTGGCTATCCTAGAATTCACTCTGTAGCCCAGGCTGGCCTCTGCCTCCCAGGTGGTAGGAAGTGTTTTGTTTGTTTGTTTGTTTGTAAGATAGAGCCTCATGTAGCCCAGGGTGGCCTTAAACTCTCCAGAATGCAGCCAACAATGACCTCTCTTTTTTCCGCCTCACAACTGCTACGATTGCATGCACATCATCGCCCGCCAGGTCTATGCGGTGCTGACAATCCAATCAGGACTTTGCGCACTAGACAAGCACGCTACCGATTTCGCTAACATTCCCAGCCCCCGGCGAATTCTTTTTTTTCTCTCCCCATCTCCAGGGTCTCGCTTGACCTGAACCTCTCTATGGAGCTAAGGCTGACCTCAGACTCACCATCCTCCTGTCTCAAGCACATGCCATCATGCCTGCCTAAGTGAATTCCTTTTCTTAATCCTTGAACTGAGCCCCTTAGCTTGACATTATCTCTCTGACGCCCAGAGCAACTGGTTTGAGCAGGACATGGGCCTCCAGGAAGAGACTCATTGTGCTCAGGCCTCAGCACGCTGGGGGCCATCTGTCCGCTGTGTGGTGCCGCCTGCTAACACTCAGAGGCATCCCGGCGAGTGCTACCTACGGGACTAGGAAACCCTCCACGGTCCAAGCTTCACCTCTGCGGCTGCGGCAGCTCAGGGCTGCCCTCCCATCCGCCAACCCTCGAGGGAGCCTTGACCTCCTGACACCTTGCCCCAGACTTCACCACACCTTCCCGGGTCAGGGCTCACCTGGAGTAAAGGCACTGCTCTCCATGGTGGTAGGGGAGTGGTGGCTTCCTGCTGCAGGACAGGGCGGGTTCTGTGCGGGGACTCTGGGGTTCCTTCTTGATCCTGGTGGTGGGGCTATGGAAGGCTACTGTGGGGTCGGACAGAGCAAAGCCAGAGTCACGCCGAGGCCGCCAGGGCTTGTGACACCCCAGCTTTCTGAGGACGGGTTAGGTTACTGGTGCAGTACCCTCCCTTCGGGCTCTCGTTCTCAGAACACCGAAGTTGGATGCTTCCGGAACGTTCTGGTTACTCCTGTGGTGACTGGTTTTACTTAGGCTAACGTCTCGTATTAACCAAGAGAACCATCTAAGAGTTAACACGCACACCCCCAGCCAAGAAAACACCTTCGTAAAAGCAAGCACACTGGACCCAGGGCCTTTGGCTTTCAGAGTGCTCTGGAAAATTCCAAGTGAGAGACATGTTCTCTTATTTGGGGCTATAAAGATGCTTTGGTTTTCTGAGGGAGTCTGGCGATGAGCCTGCTTGTATGTCAGCTGAGTAACATACACATGCTCCTAATTATCTGCGAGGAGCATTGGCCTTTTCTGGGCGCTTGCTGGGTTCTCAGAGTCCAGCTACCACTGTGGCTGAGCCCTGGCGTGAGTGATGTCCTGGCCTCCTGCAGTCCCATCAGATGCCCTGGAATCCACAGTTCTGATGTCTGTGTTTTCCATTCTTGTGCCTGCTTTATTTCATGGATGGTGACAGCCGAGAGCAGTACCTCATATCCAAATATCTTTTCTTATATTTTCTTTTTCTTTTTTGTTTTTTCAAGACAGGGTTTCTCTGTATAGCCCTGGCTGTCCTCAAATTCACAGAGATCTGCTTACCTCTGCCTCCCAGGTACTAGGATTAAAAGCCGCACACCAGGCATTCTTTTTCATTTGAGGCAAGGCCTCGCCACGTATCCAGATTGGTTTCAAACTCACTATCCTCCAGATTACGGTGTGGGCCACCATATCTGGCCAAGCATTGTTTCTCAACAGGACACTTGTGACTTGGGGTCAGATTTGGGAGGATGTCTTTAATATTGTAGGGTATTTCTGCAGTATCACTGACCACCCCATTTTTACCCAACCCCAAACTCTCCAAAGACATTGACAATCTTTCCTGGGGCAACATCACCAGTGCTAAAGAGAATAAGAGAACAGTGAATGTGGGTCCTGCTGAGCTGTCTCAAGTCCCTGGCTTGGGCTGGAGAGAGAAAGCATGTATCTGTTCCAAGTCACAGGGCTACAGCTCCAGAGGGGAACCAAGGTCTTCATTTCCAGTCACTGCATTTGTCTTGGAGTCCATATTCCAGGATGAGGAGCCCTGACTTTCACCCTGTCTTTAGGTGAGAGCAAACTGCTCTCCTCTGGGTGACTCTCTGCCCCCATGACTCACTTCCTGTCTTTCTCTGATCCCCATCCCCCATCCCTGTACCCAGCATTCACTACTCACAGTTTTCTGAATGGAAATCAGGAACGAACTGTTCATCACTGTCTGGTACCTGAGCTGCAGAGAGAGGCTAGAGTGAGTCTGGGGTGTGACTGTACAAAGTGGCAGCCCCAGGAAGACACCATTGTCACCACCCTGAAGATTAGCTCCAGCCTTGAAGCAATCAAGAGCTTTCCTTAGACCAAGGGTCATTCCACCATAAGTCCCACACCCTCCAGCCCCTGCTGCATGAAGGCTCCAGGGAGGACTCTCAGAACTTGTCTGAGAAGACTCCAGTCTTTGCCTAGATGTTTTGTCCCTGGTCCCTCCATTTTCCTGAAGTGCAAATGGACCTGCCCTTCAAAATTTACAAGGCTTTGTCAGGGCTCCCAGCAGAGTGCTATTGGAGTGAGCAGGAATTATAAACTGTGGGATTCTGTGGACATGGAATCTGATGAGGAAATTCTGAATTTGAGAAGGGTCCAGGAGTCTTCACTTCAAATAATTTCCCAGGTGCTTTGGAGACACAGGAGAGCTCTGGAGCCTAGGAAAGGGGATGGGGGGGGGGGAGAACAGCTGCAGAGATGTGAAAAGAAGGTAAAAATAGGACAGGAGGAAGCTGGAGACACCATCTCATCACTGATGTGTAGCCAAGGGAAAGGCGGACTCTCCAAGCCTGGAGGTCTAGGGAGCATTCTCCAGGGGCCAGCATCTCTGTACCACAGGGTACCTCAATGGACTCCATCGTTTTTTGTTTACTTTTGCCTCTCTATCAAGGGGGAAAAAGAATTACAGCAGAAAGAAGAACAGACACAAAGAAGGACTTCCTGATTGTCTAAGATAATAGTGGGTCTGAAGCAGGACAATGGAACTCGTGACCCAGGAGACTGGACTGTCACTCCCGGGAGACTGCTCGCAGACTGGACAATGTCGAAATTGCAAGATAAAAGACTCAGACTTCAGAGTGGCTGGTGAGGCGTGTAAGATGAGGGGTAGGGAACACTCTACACCCAATCCCATGTGAGCACACAGGCTCAGATCTGGGCCACAGGACCCTGTGTTTCCCCATTCACCAGCTCCAGGTTCTGCAGCCCGCCCAGCTGGCAGGGTGATCTTTGTACAACAGAAACCAAATCACTTTGAGCTCTCCCTTAAAATGTGAAACCTGAACTCCTGCCCTTGGCCTCCTCTCATCCCTCTGGCCTGCCTCTCCTTGCTGCTGATAGGCCCTAGCACCTTGGTCTCCTTCAGCCCTCAGTCCTGCTGAGCTGCCCCCTCCCCCCCCCATCCTCTGTTCTGTTCAGGATCTCACTATGTAGCTAGCCCAGGCTGATCTGAAACTCACTCAGCATCTTCCTGACTCTGCCTGGAATGCTGGGATTGCAGATGGGCCCCTTGTCAGGCTGATTAGAGGCCTTCTCTGACCACTCAAAGCAAAACTGTCCCTTTTGGCTTTCTGTCTCAGCTGGCTTTCTCCCCGGCCCCCGCCCCCCCCATCTTATTAATGTATATTTACATGTTAGTGTTCATCTCTTCACCAGGAAGTTATTAAGCTGTGTGGACAAGGGCCTTTCCTTCTTCAGATGACTACCTAGCACTCAGACCAGAAACTGAATAATCGTTATTTATGAATAAGCATCCAAGGGGACTCATCCTCAGGCTGAGAGGAGCTAGCACCACAGACTCCAAAGGCAGGGCGATCCTAAGCCAAGCAATCCTCCCCTTACCCTGCAGCTACTCCTCTCCACATGCCAGCTACCACCAGCGTTGGCACACCACCGGAAAAGCTCATCTTACAGGGATGCTCAAGCTGTGATCAAATGCTTGCTTCAAATGTCAGAGGTACTAAGTGATTACAGATAGAGGTTTATAGTTGATTTTTACTTATTTACTTATTGCAATGGTTGGGGTTGAATCAAGGTCCTTATGAACCCCCAGGCCTTATTTTCTTTTTGAGACAAGATCTTACTAGGTACTCCAAGCTGGCCTTAAATTCTAAATTCACCATCCTCCTGCCTCAGCTTTCTAAGGGTTGTTAATTACAGGCCTATGCAAGACCATGTCTGGCTTAGATGATTAGTTTTTAGATAGAGAGACTGGCGTGAGAGAGTTTAAGAACCCGAAGTCTCCAGTAGTTAAGAACTTACTTAGAACAGCGCACTATAATTCCCAAGTGGCCAAATATATCAATGGGATGCTAAATCCCTCGGCAAAAGTATACATAAATCCCCAGCTTTTTGGAAGCCCAACTGCATCCCACAGAGGCTGTCCCCTGGTCAGCCTGACTAAAGAATCACCCAGGGGTGTTATCCCCAGCGGTTCCCAGGTTCCTAGTCCTCAAATCTGGAAAGTCATTCTATAAGACAGAGGTGGGACAGGCATCCAGATTTGCAATAAATGGCCCTGGTGGCTGGCTCATTTGGAAAGTGCTAGTCAAAGGGAAGGACACATTTCTTCCTGCTCAAAGGGAAGGACGCATTTCTTCTGGCCCATTCAAAGGTGACAGACACCCTGAAGGTGGCAGAAACAAACAGGCTGAGCGATACTTCCCTCCCTGCTACTTAGGCAAGGAGGGTCCCGAGGGCAAGGAAGGGGGCAGAACTTGGCAGGGGGTAACTGACGTACTCTGGAGCCCCTCCTGGGGCCTCATTAACTACTCGTTTCCAGTGAGGTAATGGGCTGGGGGCATCTGCTGACGCCACTGGGCAAGAGAGCCCTGTGGGTCATCTGACCTTTCCTCCTGCCTCACGCTTGAAAGTTGATCCAGAACCCCCAGAAGAGAGCTCTCTTCAGCACACAGACTGAACCCCCCAAAGATGACGCTATCCTCGTCCCAGAATGGGGAGTGAGCCCCACTCCCTGCTCAGCTCTCCCAATACTGGCCCTCTCCCACAGAGGGACCGCAGGGCCCTCAGTCTCCCAGAGACTATCAACGAGGGTAGAAATAGGAACAGAAACAGAGCCTTGCGTTCCTGGAGAGCAGAAGAAATTTTAATTACCATGTTTGGTATTGAACATGCACCATTCTGTTTGTTGACTCGGCTCTGTTTTGGCTGCTAAGCCAGTGTGCCAGAGTCTGTCCCCAGCTCCACTGGCACTAAAAAGAGACTGTCTAGGTGGGGACATGGCAGATGATTAAGGGAGATGCATGCATGCGAGCATGTGTGTGTGTGTGTGTACCCAGTGTAACTTACGAACACACACACACACACACACACACACACACACACACACACACACACACACACACACAGAATATTCAGGGACTGTCCCTTCAACAGGAAGCCAGGGGGACCCCAAAGATGGGCTCCAGAAGAGATGGGAAATTCAACCAGCTAAGCAGCAGAGGCTATCACGAGCCAGCTACCATGTATCCCACAAAGGGACGTCATCCTCTGGGCGTGGGGGCAGTCCCAGTCCCACATAAGAGTGAATGGTAGCATTCTCCAGAGCTTTGCTCTATTGTGTCACTGTTGGCCGGGGGCTCTCACCCGCACCCTGCCCCCACCCTGGCAGCCTCTATTTTGGAAGGAACCAGTTCTCTATCTGTGGAGGGGACATTCCTCTCCAGGAACCTTATGGAAGGGGAGGAAAGAGAAAGATGGAGGAGCCATTGAACTAGGAAAGACTAGGGAGAGAACTAAGGACTAACCCCCTCCCTCCCCAACAGACTGACACCCCCCCCAGACACCAGGGTGCATGCACACACTTTCACCGGAATTCCTTGTACTTCACTCTGAGAAAATAAATGGGTGAAAGCACCCTCCATGCTTTCTCTCCACACCAGGGGTCTCTTTTGGTCTCTATAGATAAGGAGGTCAAAGGGCCCAGGAGAGTGTCACCCTTGAAGGCGTGTTTGGCTGCGGTAATTGTGAGAGGATGAGCCAGATCCATCCCTTAAAATTCTGATAGCAGCAATAAACCATTCTCATCCTAGGAAAATCCGTATTATCACCATATATGATGCAACACCAACAATTTTACATGCAGAATAGCAACATCAGGGACCCCAAATCTATCCATAAGTCTTCTGGAAATTCACAGTCCCCCCGCCCCCCGAACTTCATACAAAGGGCGTACAGAGCTCAGGTAGTGTTCCCAACTACCAAAGAGACCAGAGTCATTGTCCCTAATGGTTCTTGAAGGCTCCTTACAGTTCCACAAAGAGACCCTCCACCAGATCCACAAATCTTTTACATTACATAACCACCAAATCTTGGCGCAGTCTGCCCGAGCCTGGGTTTCTCTGTGGCAGCCTGATCCTTTCCCCAACATCTCAACAGAACACAGGCACCCAGAAACCAGATGACCCTCCTCGGCTCAGTTCATCCTTCTACGCAGAAAAATCCCGACCCCGAAGATGTGTATGCATACTGCCTCAGAAGAGCCTTACCAGCAGTCACCCCAAAAGCCCAGTCAGCAGCTGATATTCCAGAAGCCACGTCCAATTCTCTCTATCCCCGCTTGGGTCCAGCCTGGTCACCACCACCTCCAAATCTTCACTGCCCCACCCACGCTATAAGAATTCACTGTTTCTCTCCAAATTGAGGCTTTAGGAAGAAACCAAGCTGAGAGAGGGGAGGTTGGGCTCTGGGCCCCATTCCTCGTGATGTCCCCCACTACTGGCAAGTTTCCAAAGGAGCTCGTCCCTCCCTGTCACCCCTTTGGACAGTGAGGGGGCCACTGACCTGGTGAGAAGAGGCAGGAAAGAAGATTGGGGTGATGTTGGGATGGTGCAGGGGGACAGGACCCCGGCAGCTGCATCTGTCTCCGCAGAGAGAGTGAGGAGCGAGTGGCCTCAGCATCCCCCCCTCAGGCCTGGCCATCCATCGCCAGCTGGGAACCTGAGCTGCTCCCTCAGGAGGAAGGAGAAGGAACCAAGGAGATCCCAGCCCCCCCTTACATTCCCCACCCCCACCTCCCCACCCACTGGATTTAAATGTACAGGGACTCCCAAGGCAGCAGTATGTAACCCACACATGCACGCGTGCGCACGTGCAAGCTTGCACACACACACTTGCTGTCATACTAACACACACAGACAGACACATGGACTGTCACCAGACCCACCACCAAGGGGAGGGGCTCCCATGGTTGGATGAAGAGAGCATTTTCCATCCCTTGTCACCCAAATAGACCAAGTACTGACAAAATGCCACCCTGAGCTAACTCACAGCCTGGGAGCTGACCACCATGGGGACCCTCAGCTGATGGGAAGGAACGGAACGGGAACCCAGAGAACCAGACCCAAATCAGAAATCAGGTGGTAAAAAAGGAGGTCTTTAAGAGATCATGGGAACTCTGAGTTCTTCAGCTCAAGAGCATGGAGAGGGAGTAAGCCTACCCAACAAAGCTATTCATGTAACTAGAAGCTGGGCACTCAGCTGAGGAAGATTCTCAACACCCCAGAACCCACCCACTCCCTGTTCCATATTTTTTGGAAGATGAACTCCATACTAAACAATCAATTTTCAGTAATAATAATATTAAATAATGCGGTGTGTGTGTGTGTGTGTGTGTGTGTGTGTGTGTGTGTGTGTGTGAGATGTGGCCAAGACAGACCTCATCTCACCCCACAGATCTGCTTAGTGGTCTTTCTTCTCATCCAAGCCACTCCTATAGAGAATCCTGAGAGAGGTGGATTTGGGGCTTTTAAATTCCAAAAGAAAGGTACCCAGAGTGGAGGAATGGGGAAGCCCACAGGAAGAGAAAAGACCTCAAGAAAGAGTTCACTTTCGGTTTCTTCGTTTTTAGAGTATGAATATAAAGGGGGTGTTAGCTAAGATGGGGTAAGTATTAACCCTTCCTGAGTCCCAGGGACTGTAAGTCACCATGCCTCCTTCTTCTGGCAGCCCTGCCGGCGACACCCTCAGCCTAAATAACCTCACCAAAACACACCAACTAGGATCCAGCTAGGACACACTACCCCACCCAGCCCAGGCTGGGCCACTGACCCCATCCTGGCCAGCTCACAACCGACCCACCAGCATACAGGAAGAGGGGCATTTGCCTGGGGGTGGAGGTATTCAGGAGGGATGGAGGGAGGACCAGTTGCCACTGGAATTATAATCAAGGCTATTTGGGGAGGCAGCCCTGAGTCTTCTCTGCCAAAGTGCCAAGAAAAGAATTATTGAAACTTTGGTCGTTTCTTTGGCTTGGGTAGTAAATTGGCCCTTGGAGCTGGGGAGAAGTGAAAGGGAGGGAGGAAAAAAAACAGCACTTGAGCAGCTCCAGGAGAGAGGTAACAAATTCCTCCCATTTCTCCTGGTCCTCACTGCTCCCTTTAAACATCCCAACACCCCAACACTACACCTAGGCCTGGGGCCTCCTGCCAAACAAACTTTGCAAATGAAATTTTCAACCAGGAAAAAAACGGGCCTAGGGCCAAGTTCCATTCAAATAAGCAAATACCCCACACAATAGTCTGATTCATCCCTAGGCCTAGTTATACAAGCCTGGCTCGGGGTGAGAAAATAAATATCGATATAAGTGTCCACACTGGGCACTGGGGAGAGGGAAGTGGATAGAGGCTGGGGGAGGGGAGCTGAAGGGCTCCTTGAGACAGAGAAGACCCCCCAAGCCCCACTTCTGAATTCTAGGAAGACAACAAAACTACTCACCTTCAGCGAGCCACGTCTCTTGGAAGTGACTGAGATCCTGGAAGAGATCTGATGGGTGAATATTGGAATTGGTGATGAGGTGGAGAGGATTTGGGGAGAGACCTGACTAGCCCGGGTTACAGCCTCCCCACTGGGCATAAGGGACGGAGAAGAATGATCAGAGTCCTCTAGGTGGTTTGACTTTTGGGGAAACGTGGGTTGGAGAGGTCCAGGATAGAGCTTTGGGATGTGTGTGGGTTGAGGAGAGGGGTCGCAGTTAAGTCTGGTTCTTTACCTTCGGAGTCGGAAGGCGGCAGGGAGCCCGGGTCCATGAGCTTCCCCTGCGGGACCATCAGCGCTTCGCCCAAGCTCCCATTTCCGGGAGATTTCTGCTGGAAGGAGGGGGGAGAATGCCCCCGAATCACCCTAAGGAGTCTAGCTTGGGGGTGGGGGTGGGTTCCCCGGGTGGTTCAAGGGCTAGGCCGCCCTGGACCCCACTGAGACCCCCCGGGAGGGGGCTGTGGGGAGAGTAGGGGCG